AGTCGGCTTGAAGGAGTTTTCTGCAACTTTCCATTCATATCTGTCAGGTTCGTCATTTGTCGTCGGTGCCCTCATTACTATGAGTCTAAAATGGAGCTCCTGAATGTGTCGTGACCTAGCCGTCGATAGTGCCCATCTCCCATCCGCAGTTACTTCTTTAACCTTGGCTTTCAAAGGTGTTTTGAGTAATCTTGGGCCATTCCTTCCAATATAATCAATCAGGGGACCCAAATCAGTCCAATGATCATGCCAAAAGAAAGTTTTTTCCCCATCACTGATCTTGCAGCGCACAAACACTCTAGCCACGTGTCTGATCTTGGTGAGCTTCCTGAGATTCCAAAAAAGTCGAGCGGTCGCCCTGGGGGTCCAGAATGATTCCCTTTTTAATTGAATTAATTGAATTGAATTGTTTTGCATTATAAGATAATGTAATTTATATTGAATGAAAATGAAAATGTATATAATTAAACGGTGAATGAATAGTAGAAAGATTTTAGGGGAAAAAGATTTGAGCCTCGAGCCTGATTTGAAATCCAACCGGTCCGACTTTGCCCGAAACGTATTTGTGCTGGGTCGTGTCGTGCACGTCCCGGACGGTTCACAACCGTCCTTGGATCAGGTTTGTAGGTTTGCGCAGCGGAAATGACATTCAAAAACCGGTCACCCACGGACCAAACATGCTCGATGAAGAGCTTCAAGAGAGAAAACTAACCTTTGAATCCCTTAGATTCACAATCAAATTGCAGGTTGTTGATCACAACTTAGATGTTGATGAAGCCAACACACACTTGAGGTATCCACACCTTGTAATGGATTTCAACACTTGGAACCAAGAACAACCCCAGATATTCTTGGTTCGAGTTCTAAATGATTGGGGTCGTTTCCCACCTGTTTTGATCAAGAAAACACGTGAAAATCACGAACTGGTGGTCTGCCGACGTCTGGACGTCCAGACCTAGACCGATCAGTCTAGACGGTTTTGCTCCTGTTCTGCCAACACTCCGAAAAAGACTTAGACCACCGGTCTAGGTCTGGACCGATTGGTCTGGACCTCTGAAGCATGAAAACACACGTGTCATCAAATGACACGTGCTGACGTCACTGTGTCTGGACTGGTCGGTCCAATGAGTAGACTGGTCGGTCTAGGCCAACACAGTTAGTAGAACAAAATCGTGCCCGACTGAGTCAGACTGGACGATACAACCATTGGACGGTCTAACTATTGGACCGGTCGGTCTGACCCCTTGGAGAAATTCCAAATTTCTCTGTTCCGACTTCACGTACATACACATCCATCCCGTATGTGTGACCCTTTAGGCTCCTCCGATAACGGCAGTAAATCCGAGATCCAATCTCGTTTTACAAATCATAAGCGGTCTCTAACAAGATATTACGATTACCCCCATCGGATAGAGTTAGATGTGATCTAACCGAAAGCCAGTGATAGCTCAAACGATGATCCTCTTTGTCTCACGATATCATATATCGAAACACATTTCGATTGATTTGTCGTATCCCGAGTAGACTGTAAGAAATATATGACATTCATCTATAGTGTGGCCACACATTTCAACAGTCCTACTGTTACGACGGGCCCAACGATATTTCTCTCTTTAGAGATGCACAAAATTCCATCTTGACTATCTACTATCCACTACATGACTCGTAATGTACCTGAGTCACGTCGTTATAATCATCCGGTTAAAGACGACGTTTGACGCAGTCAAAGTACATTAATCCTCATGTCGGATACGGGTAGACATATCAGGTCTAAGGATCCAAAGTAAACCATCATGTGAGATTGCAGTCATGGATAAAATCCAATCGACAATTTCACGCGAGTCATCCGGTCACTTGTTCCAAACAAGTACCCATGATCATGATCCGTATCCAATACACATGATCATCTCTATGATCATCCATCACGCCTCATATTAGTCTTAATTCATCATTACTCCCACAATGACAAGCGACTAAGGAGTTTAGGATCGTTCATAACGATTCAAGGATTTCATTATTTATTAAATATGCAAAACAAATAATGAACATATAATGCATTCATCCAATGAATTCATCACAACAGTACAAGTCCTCACATCATACGATCATCATAGAGCACTAAAACCATCAATTTGATTCGTGGTCCGAAAGCTCGAAAACTTAACAGACTTATACTCGTAAACCCCAACCCTTTTTTATTGGAAAGGCTCAGGTGGAGCTTCGTGTTTCGGACTTCTTTAACATCCCTAATGGTACTTGCATTAACTTAGATATTTCCTCTCTTTATATTATATTCTTCGGAATTAATCCTTTGAACTCAAGAGAGTTTTTTTTGCGGCTATTATCACCATTAACCGATTTTATATGATAATTAGGGTTTTTAATGTCGGCTTTTGATTATATAATCACAAAATAAGGTAACGGTAATAATGGGCATGCATCAAACGATAACATTTTATAAAGTCATAATATTTACATAAGGAAGTTCGATATAATTAAAATAATAATAATAATAATAATAACAATAATAAATTAATGATGATGATGATAATAATAATAATAATAATAATAATAATAATAATAATAATAATAATAATAATAGTAGTCTGGTCAGTTCTTATGTCATGGAAATGGATGTCATCCTTTTAATGGGCATGCACTAATTAACACCTCCATTTGTTTCCAATAACTTAAAACCTTTATTTCTTCACAATTATTTTTTAAATGATGAATAAAAAAGTACACTAAGAAAGAACCTTCATTACAAAGGACGATTAATGTTCATCAGTAGTGGAATTATACTTAATAACAACCAATATAATTCGAGGGCCAAAGCATTGATTAGATTTACATGCACATTAATTAAAAGGTTAGTGTTCCAAAGCAGCGCGTGGAGGACACAGCCCAATCGCGTGGCGACATTACACAAATTAGGGTTTATATTTTTTGACCCATAAGACTGATTAGTCGGCAAGTGATTGGAGAGTGCTCTTTGTGTGGGTCTAATCCAACCTTTGGAATGTCTTAGTGCTTTTTGTGTGTGTGTGTGTGTGTGGGCGCATTATTAAAACCATGAAGAATAATTTATATGATTATATTTACACACCAAGAACCCTAATTTTGCAAGAAAAAATTCCATATTTTTAAAAAGGAATAATCGCATATAAATATCTAAACTTTTACAAAATTTCTAAATAAATACCTAAATTATAAAACTTCGAGATAAATATCTAAACTTTTCAAAACTTCCATATAAATACCCAAACTTTTCAAAAAAATTCAAATAAAACCAAAATCCATTAACGTCGTTTAATTTATAACTAAATCTTACGAAAATTAATGACTCAATCAATTAATGTCGTCAATGAAAATTGTTTTATTTGGTAAAATTTTAAAAGTTTGAGTATTTATGTGGAAGTTTTGAAAAGTTCAGATATTTATTTAGGAGTTTTATAGTTCAGGTATTTATTTGAGAATTTTATAAAAGTTTAGGTATTTATATGCGATTATCCCTAAAAAATGTACTGGGATAGCATGTCAAAATACAATAATCGTTTATTATTATTATTATTGATCAACTTAAAGTTACTATATAATTTGTAATAAAATTTTAAGACTATAAAAAATAAAATTTCTCGTATAGTAAAAATTTTCAAATTTAATATAAAAAGAAATTATATAAATTTAATTCAAACCAATATTTCTAATAATTTCCCACACACACGCATATATATCCTAATCATTTGTAGAGCAAAATCTGTCTCGTTCTTTCACATGACTAATTTCTTCTTCCTTTGAATGCGACAATTCTGATTTATTTTAAGTTACATAAAATTAACCAACTTTTCCTCGTAATGAGTTGAAATATTATCCGTAGACATATCTATTCTTTTGTATATCCAACTTCCTTCCTGAATAATATTAATTGTTTCTACCACATAATATTTAATTTTAATTTAACATTTGAATGTGTTTTGGGGAGTAAAAGATCTCAAACCATATATAGACTAAATCGCTCACGCTTTTGCGTGACAAAATGATCACACTTTTGTGTTACCCATGCATATTAGGAACGTTATTTCGTAATCAAAGAGCCGAAATTTTTTACCATTTAAAACAGTAATATTTTAATCTTGTACCTCTTCACCTTAATCATGAATGAATTGACAACAAATATATAAAAAAGATATCTTAGTACATTATATTTACAGACGACATCGTGTTAATATATAAGTATAGAGAAGAAATAAATGAACAATTAGAGTTACAAAGAGTATATTAGAGGCATATGGTTTTAGGTTTCATAGAATGAATATCGAGTACACACATTGTGTTTTAGTAGAAGACTTTCTAGTGGTGTATGAGTTAATTTGCAAAGCGGATTGGTATCTCGAAACCCATATTTTAAATATCTTGGTTAAATCATTCAAAACGATGAGAATTGCGATGAAGATGTTAGTCACATGATAAAAGTTGGATGGATGAAACAGAGACAAGCTACGAGATTCTTTGCGATCGTAAGGTTTCCATACGGTTGAAAGAAAAATTCTATATCATACCATCATAAGACCCGTATTGATGTATGGTAACGAATGTTGGGTGGACAAACGATAAAATGTGTCCAAAACGAATGTGACCGAGATAAAAATGGTGCGATGGATGTATGAATATATATAAAAGAATGCATAGAATTAAAAATGAGAATATTAGAGAGAAGATAGTTAGATATAGAAAAAAAATTACGAAAAGAGGTTTAAGATGATTTGAACATGTACAATGTATACCGATAGATGTTTTATTTAGAAAAGTGGAGAATATAAAAATGAGGAGAAGGGAAAAGAGAAAGAGATACCCGGCTTATATAGAAATGAATCATTAGAAATGACTTAAAAGGTTTTATGGATATTGTTTTTATAAAAAAAATTCCGATTAATAAAAAAGTCTGTTATAAATCAATTTATATGTTTGTCATTAAATCTAAAATACAATATAATCTGAGTTCAACACTTTTTCTCCGGCAAAGTAAAGACGTACTAAAAATCCTGAATTCCCTCATGCAAGTTACAAAAAAAAAATGGAAAACGGAAACAAGATTTAAATTTCGTCAACAGAAATTATAATTAAGCCTAAACAACGAAAAAATAGGATTAAAAAAAGAAATGAAAAAGGAAAGGAACAAAAAGGGGAGGGGAGAAAAAAAAATATGAAGAGTATTGATGGGGAGGGAAAGCTAGCGTGCGCCACAGTGACCGTTATCTAGACGGCGCCAAATATTCGCCTATTTATTTTTTTTTATTTGTTTTTTATTTTTTTGGCCTTAGTTCTCAATAAAACGCAAACCCACTCCCATTTCTGCCTTTCCAAAAAAGAACACACACACAGTCAGACACAGAGCCCCACCGGATTTGTCTTGTCTCTCTGGTTTTCCGGTGAATCCTGTCGGTCGGAGAATCTCTATCGCCGATGACAATGGAGAAATGTTTCTCGCCGGTCGGCCTCCGTGTCCTGGTAGTGGACGACGACCCCACCTGGCTCAAGATCCTCGAGAAGATGCTGAAGAAGTGCTCGTATGAAGGTCCCCTCCCCATCATGTTCTTCTCCCCTCCTCCTTGGTTTTCTTCTTAAGATCCTTGTCTTCTTTTTCGTTTTTCCTGCTCTTATGGCGAATCTGTTCTGAACTACTACTGTCTGAACACCTTGAGATCCCTCCCAGATTCTGAGTCTTTTCTGAGATTTTGATGGAAGAGAAACCTTCAGACATGGAAGTATATGTTTATCCATGTTGTGTGACAAATCTGTATAAAAGGAATACAGCCTAACACAAATATTGACAATCTCCTCGTACTTGTAGTTACTACCTGTGGCTTGGCGAGAGAGGCTCTGAAGCTACTCCGGGAGCGTAAGGACGGGTACGATATCGTGATCAGCGATGTGAACATGCCGGACATGGATGGGTTCAAGCTTCTTGAGCATGTCGGGCTCGAGATGGATCTTCCTGTTATAAGTAATTTCTCAACTTCTATATCGAACTCCCAAAAGAAGAGGTCCAAGAAAAAAGAAAGAAAGAGTCTTTATGCTGATATCACTTTATAAGCTTAAGGGTTCTGAGTTCAAAGCTGTATTTACTTGTGCAGTGATGTCGGTGGATGGAGAGACAAGCCGGGTGATGAAGGGCGTTCAGCACGGAGCCTGTGACTACCTACTGAAACCGATAAGGATGAAGGAGCTGAAGATCATATGGCAACATGTCCTCAGAAAGAAGCTCCAAGAATTCAGAGACGTCGAAGGGTATGAAGGAGCCGAGAGTATTTGGATCTCCAGGCATGGCCTTGATCAATCGGAAGATGCCCATTTTCTCGGTGGGGAGGAAGTTTCTTTCGGAAGGAAAAGGAAGGACACGGAGAAGAAGCAGCATCAAGATGACAGGGACCTGACCGATCCATCTTCCACGAAGAAAGCAAGAGTGGTTTGGACATTTGAGCTTCACCAGAAGTTTGTGCACGCTGTGAATCAGATCGGATGTGATCACAGTAAGTACTTCTACGGTTTGGTGCTCTGGTTTTGCTTCCCTTCATCATATGTCTGCTCACAGAACCCTGATTTTTGTGGGTTTCTTCTTCTGTAGAAGCCGGTCCGAAGAAAATTCTGGACCTTATGAATGTTCCGTGGCTCACCAGAGAAAATGTTGCAAGCCACCTGCAGGTAAGAGCCTTGTAACTTAACTCTCTTACATCAAACAGTGATTAGGACTTGTCAGATAGAGAGACAAAACATGGATAGAACTTGTTTTACTGTCGCAGAAATACAGGCTTTACCTTAGCAGATTAGAGAAGGAGAAGGGGCAGAAGAATATGGATTCACCCCCTAAAGATGCAGAAGTATGTCCAAGCCACCAGAGCCCGAGAAAAATACAGCCTGCAGAAGTTCAGAATAGTAGCTACACGTTCTCTGGAGGTAGCCCGGGAGTTCAGACACCAAACCCGAGCGCTACAGATGTTGATCAGAAGGGGATTGCTTCAACCGCAGTGTCTGAAACCAAAATAAGCAATATCCTCAGTCCACAAAAGGCCAAAAAGCCACGTACAGGATACGATCCTTCCCTTGCACCATTTGCATCAGAAGCTAGTCCAAGTGTGATGAACTCTTCACTTCCCCAACAGTATTCTTGGAACGATGTTCCACAATTTCTTGAATCGAAGCCAATTTCCCTTGGAGGCAGCTTTCTTCCGCAACCATTGACTGGTCAAAGTTATTATGCGGAGAATCCTGTGCCATGTCTCATTGAAACAGAAGTCAAGCCTCCGTTCGAGATTCCAGTCAGCAGTTGCCTGAACCGAGTAGCTCCTGTGAACGGGGATGACTTCCTTCTGCAACAAGACAAGAACTCTACAATGGGCCTTCATGACTTGTCTGCTCCATCTTCCATCTCTGGTACAATGCTGCAGGAATCCAATTGCAGTATACCATGTAATACAGAGTCAATCCTGAGAAACCTAAACTGGGATTTCCCAGAACCGCACCCAGCAGCATCACTGGACAGAGACCTAGGCTTGTTTTGGCTTCAAGGTGACCGCTTTCTCGAGAATTCTGGATTGCAAAATACAGAATTTACAGACTACAATGACCCATCATTCCTTGCTGCGTACCCACTTCACATGTATGATGCCACGAGGTTTGACAATGAGCTTCTTCTTCTCCCTGACCAAGATGAGTACTCCCTTGTAGACCAAGGGCTATTCATAGTTTGACCTCACTCCCTTTACTTGTTTAGCTGTATTGATGGGGAATTCAGCCTTATAAACAATTTTAAACCATACCCGAAATGTGTTGCTTTATATGGAAGACACTGCAATTGCATGCAGGTTTTTCAGGTTAACACCTGCAAATAATCTTTGCTTCTCCAAGAACCACCTTCCGCTGTCACATGCATGACAGTACAATAACTCTGTCATGCTCCTCTATGTCTCTCCCACTACCTGGCTGTCTAGTCTTCTTCCCTGCAAATCCATGGCGGAATCAAGTTCAGAAATGAGGTGAGACAGCTTGAGAAGCATGTCCACAATTGTTTCCATTCGGCCTGAACCATCAACCTGACTTACACATTACAACCAGGCTCTCGTACAAGAGCGAGGAAAGACAAGAACAATGATCACTTGACATTGATGTCCAAGATCTTTCCGGAGAGTTCTAGCCTTTGGTATGGTTTATGTTCTCCAACTCAACATTTTCAGGCAGAGGAGTGATTCTGCTGTTGGAACAGACCAATCTCCCCTCTTTCTTCTCCACTTCCTCTTCCTCACCCTCTTCACCTCCATGTCCATGGATCTTCTCCTTCTTTGTTACTTAAGCATTTTCTCTTCAACCCACACTTCACGTCCTCCATGGTGTCCTTCCTCTGCTGTTAGGTGCTGGAGATGACCATCCATGGCTGCTCGAGTATGCAAATGGGTAACTCCTCCAAAATCTGCTGCACAGTTCGTGCCGTTGGGAATCTGTCCCATAATCCTATGAACAAAGTATATGAGACCAACAGACCAAAAACTGCGCAAATTTGACAGAGATGATTCACGGCAGACAGATTCAAACCCAGAAACCGAAATGAAATCGGGAGCGCATAGAAAAAGGTTTGTCTGGGTTATGCTCTTCTCTCTCTGCAAATGGCCGAGGTTGTCCAAAAAATCCATTTCTGTTTTCTGCAACAATAGAAACAGAATTCTGAAATTCTGCAACACGCAACACTTTTATTTACACATTAGCACTCATACAAACTGCTCGGTTTCTTCCAAATAGGATTACAGAACACAAAAGTCTGCAATGAGTTACTCAATTTTTTCTTACAGAATGTATAAACCACCAAACCAAGTAACTGTAATCTGCAGTTACACGAACGGTCGCATAAAATTAAGAAGCAACAGTAACTGAAACATCAACCAATGTTTTCTGACATAAACTCCAACTAATCTTAATATACGACACCAACTTCACTTGCCACTTGAGACAGAGCCAACAGAGATTGTCTCCGTTGTCCCTCACCGCAGCCGCCACGCAACTCTGGCTGCCTCCGCCATTATGAGTCCGGAAAGCGGGAGAGAGGAAGACAATCACCCAATCCAGGAACTGCTTGCGACATTTTCATCCGAGCGAATGCTCCTGAGAATCGATCAGAATTCACAGAAAACTAGAAGTGGAAGGGGATGGAAGCGAAGAAGGTTCACTGTTAAATTGAAGGAAGAGAATGAAGATGTGTTTCTAAGAACATTCTGGAAAGACAAAACATCTTTTGCGATTGCACAATCATAAATGGCTACGATGTTGTAATGAAAGCGAAAGATATGTCGATCAAATTCGTAGGAGATTTGGCGCGTTTAATAATCCTCAACCATGGGATTAGGATTGTATCTTTTTTGTCTTAATTCTTTCGTAATAAATGAAGCCAAATAAGGTAAAAATCAATCACACACGCTCATGCTCATGAGTTTCATCTTTTGGTCTTTGTTGTCGTTTAGCTCATGCTCGTGTTTGTTGTGATTTGATCTTCAATATTCATATATATATATATATATATATATACATATATGTATATGAACTCCAAAGTGAATCATCGATATGATTCATTTATGTAGTATGTCCAATACTCATTAGACCGCAAACATATTATTCAGATGGTAGTTTCCCAAATATGATAATCGTGATAATAAAAGCATACAACACAACAACAAACATTACAGCATCCATTTATTTTACTAAATTAGTAAATTATGCTCTTCCCTCTCCCGCCGTTTTTGCGTCTGCCAATCAAAATACACACACATCACATCAGCTCCAAAACAATTCATGTATATGTTTTCATAAATTCTCTGCCAGATTTCAAAAGCGAAATCCATCTAACGCAACCAGATGAGGTTCGATTCAGATCTCTCTCGTGTTACGACCGAAATCAGATCAAACGCCTCCAGATTCTGAATTCTCAAAATCGTTCCAAGGAAGGGGTGAAGATTTTACCAGGGGAGCATCTAATCCGGCACTTGCCCTCGCACCTCTGCATCAATCTCGCTGAAACGCGCCCAAAAGATTTATCAAAATCAAGATCGGAACCGAAATAGAAATAGAAATCAGATTTTACGGATCAAGGGTTCTGAAACTCAGAGATCTGGAGCTGATTTCGCTCGACTAGATCGGAAAACTCACTGTCGGATTGAACGCAGCCGGTGAAGCAAGCGTCGAGGCAATCGAAAGGACCTGCGGCTACCGCCAACTCCATATTCGAAGAGATTGCTACCAGAATCATCAGAACCGCCATTATCGTCATTTGCTTCGTCATCGTCGGTGTTTGCTTTTTCCTCTTCTCGATATTTTTCTCTCTTCGGTCTTTCTCGTGAAGAATTTTTCGGGGTTTTATAAGCGGTTTCGTCGCCAAGTTTGACCACCAGTTGTTGAACGACACGTCATATCATTATGCACTTGTATTTCTTCTAGGTAAGGTATTAAATTTTGCATTTATGAGATACAGTGGACAAAAAAAAACAAAAAATGGAGAGAAGCAATTACTATACTTTATTTTTTGATGAAATTTGGGTATATTTTTCAAAAAGGGGTGGTACATAATCCAGGATCTCCGATCTACACTTGAAGCTTACGCTATTCGACCCTTACAAAGGAATACAGTACAAACTCATACATGGCTTATAATTGCAAATCTCGATTCAGATTGAGGGAGTACCACTGTTGGAGGAGTTCGTTGCTTTCGCAGTCGCGTTCCTGCTGGAGCGATAAAAGTGTGCTTCGTACTGATCGATCTAGACGACGTCGGAGCAGCTGTGCAGTGGTGGCAGAGTCCTGGAAGATGCGGGCGTTTCGTTCTTTCCAGATTTCATACAGTGAGTGTTGGATTAGAACCTTTATCAGTGTCCTTCGCCAAGCATTGTCGGTCCCTGAGATGTTACCTAGCCAAGCTTGGCATGCTGAGAGCTCCGCCGGCGGATTTGGCCAGACCTTCCCCGCTAGTGGCAGGGCACTTTT